TTAACACATGTGGACAGAATAGGTGTGTGTGTGTCGTGGTTGACTTTTGGTTCTATGGTAGAGGATAAAGGACAGTAATAAGGTGTAAAAATATAAGATAGTGTACAGTTCTCAATCGCAGTGTCATTCATAATGACTAACATTTGTCCCCTTTTCCAATTAATGGTACCAGTTGTATAATCATTATTAAAAATAATAAGGCCTGTCTGTTTACATTGATATGCAACCTTACTAATTTTCTTATTATATATATCCCAAACCTGTTTAGGTGGGTTTTTTCTTACCACCAGAACTTATATTAAATAAGGTGGCACAGATGCTGGTGTAATTAGCAACCTTAACTGTGCACATTTCTGCGTTATAAGATCTAACAATTTTCCGTGAACCTTCAAACAAACATAATGCATCGGTTTCATTAGCTGTGGACACATTCCATATGGGTAACTGGTACTTATAAGGGTTATTATTTATCCAGTTCGTCCATATGTGTTCAGTCAATGAGTGCTTGCATATTACATGCTGATAGATAGGTGGTGGAGAAAGGTTCTTGAGGGAGCTTGTGTGACGAGTGCTAGATGAGGGGCTAAGGCCTAATTGGGCTGGGGGTATTGAAGAATTGTTCATCATGTCAGAGTCATTTCTCCAGAAACAAACAGGTTTCAAACTTCCCATTGACTTGTACTCATAATGGCATTCAAGGAATAATATCAGAGGGAGTATAACAACTCCAGAAAGCATAGCGCAAAACATAATCTTGGTCTCAGGTTCGTATGATCCTCTCAATCTACGATATGGTGTGAAAGCCATGATGCTTCGCTAAGGGGAAATTCTTCTCTCTCCGAGTGAGGAGTGGTGTTGTCTTCCTTGGTTCCCCTCTTTGGACACAGCTTCACTCGGGATGCGTGAATCCAGATGTCGTGGAAATCTGTGAGGACAGCGGTTCTGGTTACAGCAATCACAGTAGCAGGTGGTCCGAAAGGGTATCTTCCTTTCTTGGTCCTATTCAGCTGACGGATATACACCTTGTCACCGGGCTGGTATGAATGAGTAGGTTCCTGTGAAGGTAAGGGAAACTGCGAAGAAACATTGTCATATATACCATTCAGTTTTATCAACAATTCCTGTACATATTGTTCTTGTATTAGCTGTAAATCCCCAGATATTATAACAAGCGGTTCCCTGGCCCAGGGTGTGGGAAAAGGTCGTCCCATCAGAATCTCAAATGGAGATAATTTAGTCACCTTGTGAGGAGTCATTCTTATCTCAGCTAAAATAGCTGGAAGATATTTTGTCCAATTTACCCATGTTCCTGAGGTAGCTTTCATAAGCTTCTCCTTAATGGTCCTATTCATCCTTTCAACTACCCCTGAACTCTGTGGATGATAGGGTATATGAAACTTCCAGGTAACTTGCAAGAATTTAGCAAGTTCCTGGGTAACCTTACTAGCAAAAGCCGGGCCATTATCAGAGTTAATCTGCAGAGGGCAGCCATACCTGGGAATAATTTCAGTAGCAAGAATCTTCACTACCGTCCTAGCATCCTCCCTAGATGTCACAAAGGCCTCAGGCCATCTACTAAACTGATCAACTATGACCAGTAAGTATTGCTGTTTCTTACCAATTTTGGGTACATGAGTAAAATCAATCTGTAAGTGTGTAAAATGAGCAGCTGGAGGGGGCAAATGTTTGTGCTGTGATTTGTGTGGAATATTCGGATGTGTTCTCATACATGGTTCACACAATCTAACAAAAGACTGTACATGCTGCCTGAGATTCCTAATATAAAATGAATTCATGAGGAATTGGATGGTACTTGCTATGCTTTTGTGGCCAGGACCATGTGCCTGACTGATGAAGATAAAACAGCTGGCTTCAGGTATGCCTATCTTCCCCTCTTTAGAGAAAAGATCATTCTGATCTTTTTCTAAACCTTGTTTAATCCAAAAATCAAAGTCAGATTGCGTTGCAAAGGCTTGGAGCTGCAAAAGCAAACTGTCAGTAGGGCATGTGGGAGGTGTGAGCATAGGAGGAAAGATTTCATAGTAAAGAGTCTTGGCTGCAACTTCTTTTGCCACTTTGTCAGCCAAGGCATTACCTCTGGAAATGTCGTTACTACCCAGAGTGTGTGCCTTGCAGTGGATAACAGCTACTTCAGATGGGAGTAGGATAGCATCTAGGAGTGATTGGATGAGATTTGTGTGTGAAATGGCTTTTCCATCGGCTCCTACAAAGCCTCTTTGTTTCCAAATCACACCAAAATCATGCACTACCCCATGAGCATATCGTGAGTCTGTGTAAATGTTCACTCGCTGTCCTGAGAAAAGCTGACAGGCACGTGTGAGAGCAATGAGTTCTGCAGCTTGTGCAGACGGCTGGAAAATAGTGTCAGCTTCAATGATTTTATCAGGTAGCTGTACCACAGCATAGCCTGTGAGGTATGTACCATCATTTGGTCTGGAACAAGAGCCATCCACAAAGACAGTGGTCACATCCGGGCCACTGAGTGCTGTGGAGGAGAGGTCTGCTCTGGGAGATGTGGCAATATGTATTTGTTCAATGCAATTATGAGGCTCAGATGGTATAGACACAGAGTCAGATGCAGAAGTGAGAATAGCATGCAAAACAGACATAGGACCAGAATTAACAGGACTATAAACAATACACAGATTCTGGGTATTAAGAAGAATAATCTCATAACCACTTAAGCGCTGGGCTGTCATGTGTTGTGTGGTGAAATTTTTTATAAGCTGAGTAACCTGGTGACTGGTATGGAGTATTGTAGGATGCCCTAGTGTGATAGTAGTAGCAGTCTCAACAGCCATTGCACATGCTGCCAATGCTCTGAGACACGCCGGCATACCCTGTACCGGAACTGGAACTACTTTGGAAAAGAATGCTATGGGACGCATACCGCCTCCGTGCTCTTGTGCACAGACCGCGGCCATGGTTTTACAGTTGTCCCGAGCATACAAATGAAGTGGTTTACAATACACAGGTAGTCCTAAAGCCGGGGCTTGTACAATAGCAACTTTGAGGGCAATATACGCAGCTAGCATGTCTGGTGACCAACAGACATTTTCAGGGCTGTCAGAACGTACAGCCTCCCTTAGGATTGAGTCATAATGGGAGCACTCAGGGATCCATTGGCGGCAGTAATTAATCATGCAGAGGAAGGTGAGCAACTCCTTCCGAGTAGTGGGTTTAGGAATCCTCTGAATGACCTCAATACGTTTTGGACTCAATTGTCTGGTGCCTGAAGCCAGAACAAAACCTAAGTAATCAACCTTTGATTTACACAATTGCATTTTGTGTTTTGCAACCTTGTGACCCACAGTTGCTAAGTGTTTGAGCAAACTGACAGTATCCACAGTGCTTGCCTCATAGCTAGGGCTACATAACAACAAATCATCAACATATTGCAAAAGGACGGAACCATGACCGGTGGTCCATGTTTTTAGAGTATGTTGGAGTACCAACGAATAAACAGCTGGGGAATCCACATAGCCTTGGGGTAAACGTGTCCAGGTATACTGACAGCCTTCAAAAGTAAAAGCCATAAGTAGCTGTGTCTCTTGATCAATAGGTATAGAAAAAAATGCATTACTTAAATCAATGACAGTGAAGCAAATGGCATCATGTGGAATGGCTGTAATGAGGGATGTCACATCAGGGACAATGGGTGTAATGGGCACAATTAAACTATTCAGGGCTCTAAAATCCTGAACTTAGCGATAACCATTACCTTTAGGAACTGGATTAATAGGTGTGTTATATGGGGAAACTACTGGCTTTAGTATTCCCTGCTCTAGAAAAGATTGGATCATGGGGCGAACTCCCTCAACTCTGGCTTCTGACAGGGGGTACTGTTTAAGGTAGATAAGAGTTACATCTGGTTTTAGTTTGGCTTTGTAAGGGGTGCAGTTGACAAATCCTACATCTAACTTAGATGAAGCCCACACAGAAGAAGGAACATCAGACAAATCAATAGTTTCAGAACACAACATAGACACATCAATACCACCAGAGGGTGTTCAAGTAATAGTAGCTCCCAGAATACCAAGAAGATCCCTTCCCAGCAAATTAACAGGACATTTAGGTATTAGACGAAAAGGGTGCACAGTAGAAGAACCATTAACAGGACAGAAAACAGACAGTGGTGGTGTGACAAAAGTGGGGGTTGACACTCCATTAATACCCAATGAAGGTGTAGACTTCTCCCTTGTCCCCTGATAATAGGTATCACAGACTGGAACACGTAGCTCCAGTATCTACCAAAAATGGCAAGGATCTACCTTCTATGACCAGAATACAAAAAGGCTGATCATCATTAGTAGAGGACAAAAGTGGAAAAGTTGGAGTGTCACCTTCAAGGCAGCCCTATTGGGGCCATGGGATGTGATGGGTGTGCTGGTCAGTGGTACCTGTGAATGGCCCTAATGCAGTTTGGGTTTGCTGGAGTGGGGGGGGGGAGAGGGAAGTGCTGGCCAGTGGTGTTGGGAGTGGGCCTGGTGTTGTTCTTGCCTACCGGGCGTATTTTGATAATTGTGGGGTTGTTGGGGCTGTTGGGGTTTCCTGGGGTGTGGACACTCATTCCTCCAGTGGCCATGCTGGCCACAGTTGAAACAAGTGTTCCTGTCTATTCCTCCTTGGTTACCCCTGCCCCTATAACCCTGATTTCCCTGTCTCCATCCCCTTGCCCCTCTTTGACCACCCCTTCCACAGGCTCTATGTGCTCCATCCCATCCTCTCTCTCGGGCCTGTGTAGGTGGACAGTGTTGCAATCCCTGAGCATAATAAGCAACCTTACTTCCTGAATCTTTTCTTAAATCAAAACAACCTGCATTTCCCTTCTCAATAACCTTGGTAAGAAAAGCTGAGCCACCCAGATTGGCCCAGTCTGAAATCAACTGTTTCACAAGCAAAGAATACTGTGGCAACATATTACCAAGGCATGACTGTATTTTAAGGAGATCCATATCATCTCCAGTCTTCAAACCTGCCTCATCCTTCCAACACTTGTAAAATCTCTTTACAAAAACACCAATCTCTTCCTTTGCACCTTGCTTACATGCCAAAGCAGTGGATATAGACTGCTTATTCTTCCATAATCTCAACATTTCAGCTTCCTCATCCCACATTTTAGCACATCCTGCTGAAGTACTAAGCTCATAAACACCATCACTGCCAGCCACTCCAACTCCAGTACCGTTGTCTGTCTCACTGATAGAGGGTACATTAAACCAATTCCAACCAGAATCTGAATCATACCCTAATATTCCATTTATAATTAACTGTATGTCTATCTGTGTCATGTTCTGTCCTAAACACATTCTTTTCAGATACATTAGGCATGCAGAGGGATTAGTACGGGGGTTTGGGGCACCTTGAATAATGTCCTTGAGTACTCCGGGATTAATGGGTTTCATTATTAACTGATTACCAACAGTCATAAACGGGGCAGTAAGATCAGCACCTTCTAATTCTGGCTTCTCTACATCATCATCATCACCTTGCTTATGTACATATGATTTTAACACCTTGCCACTTTTAAGTTTAACTCCTGTTTGTACTGTTAATTTAATTGTACCAGGAGGTGGCGGTGGGTATTCTATATCAGAACCTGTTGTAGATGATGATTCCTGTAATTGCTGTGATTGTGAATTAACAGCTGCAGCAACAGAAATATCTTCTATATCATCCTCTGAGGGGGCATTAGGTACAGCAGGATACATTGCTTTATAGGGAGGTGGGGGTTGTGGTTGGGCATGGCCGGGGGCTGACTGGGTAGGGGGCACAGTTGGTGGTGGATATAGATTCTCAGGAGGGGCTTCTATAGAAAAGCAAATAGTATTACTGTCAACAGTTCCCTTTCTCTTAGCCAGGTGTTTCTTAGCTCCCTTTAAAACCTTTCCTGTTACACTACATGGAAACCAATGAGGGCTATCAGCAACCAATTTTCACCTCCTGCTTTCATATATTCCTTATCCCAATCTGGATCAGGACCATACCACGGCCATGACTTCCTATCTCCCAAACACAATCCTCGAATCATATTCATATGGAAATCATCATTAGCCCCACACCTGGGAAAAGGATCAGATGACTTCATAGTCCTGTCCATCCTGCTAAATTTGACACAAAGGGGATTGTAAGAAATCCTCCTTGTGCTCCTATTCTAGTAACATAATTTAGACATGACTCCCCTGGGTGGGGTAAAGAGTAAGAAATAGACTGATTATTTCCCATATTTCAGGCTCAGGGTAGAGACACTACCTACTTACCAATAGTGTTTCTCTACTTAACAAGCAAAATAAACACAAAGCAGACACAGGGTGACCAAAGTTTGGGTTATTCTAGATC